GTTTTATCCTCTCCTTTTTTCATTTCCCCCCATTCCTCCTTTCGTTTTTGCACCTTTTCTTTCGTACATCCTTTCTTCCTGTGTTCTGTCTCGTCGAGGACACACTCATGAACTCCTTTTGCCTCTCACCCATACTTTCTCCTGCGGGATCATGGTTTGGGTTGATTCTCCCTTTGAAAATTATTTTTGACAGGCCGTTTTCCTTTTCTTTGTGAACCACCCGATTCTCCAAAAATTTGCCACCTGGGTCATGTCTCCCTCGCCTATCACCTTCATGATACCTTCAATCGCTTTTTTCTTCTCCTGTTTTCCCTTTCATCATAAGTTTCCCCTTTAGCTTCGTCTAACCATAGACAAAAAACTGATCTCCCCCTTTTCCCCATTTCCCCACTGTGACTCCCATTGCATCCTCTGAGGTGTTTTAGTTCCTTCCCATTAAGTGTTCCTTCCTTCAGTCCCTTCCCTAGCTGTGGTCCCTATGCTCATTGGTTTGTCCTTCCTGCTCACCTGTTCCTGGCCCCCACAAGTGTCTGGTAAGGTCCCTGCACATGTCCTAGTTCCTTCAATGTCTTCCAACCTCTCATTCTGTCCTAGTGTGCTCCCTGTCTTTTCTTTGGCCCCATGTGGGTTTGACAGGACTGCTGCATACAGTTTAGCTTCCATGCTCCCTTCAGACCCGTTGTCTGTGTCTGATGTAGCCATTGCTGATGCTACTTCTGTAATATATTTGTCTCTATGCTGTTTCAGATGTCTCAGCTCCTCTTCTAATCTCTGTATCTTGGTTTCTGCTACTGTGGCATGTTGCTTCCACCTTCTGCATTCTGCTGCTAACCTCTCCTCCAACTTCCTTGCAAGCTCATCTAGCCTCCTTCCCCAGTCTTCCTCCCTTTTTTGAACTCTGCCTCCCAGCCCTCCCTCCCAGATTCGTCCTTCTGGCCCCTTGTTCTCATCCTAGTTCTAGGTTGCCCCATTGCTCCACAGAAGGAAGGGGGAGAGATGGTTAGGGGGAGGGTAATAGATGGTTAGGGGGAGTGGGGATGGATGGTTATGGGGGAGGGGGAGGATGGGGGGAGGGGGAGAGAAGGATGAGTGACCCTTAGAAGCGGGGGAGGTGTGTGTGTGTGTGTAATGGGATTAGAAGGGGAGGGAGGGGAAAGAAGGCTGAGGGTAAAGTGACTGCTTGATAACGGGGTCCTAACGGGTGTGTGTGTGTGTGGTGTGTGTGTGTGTATTCACCTAGTGCAGGTGTGTGTGTGTGTATGTGTGTGTTCATGTGTATGGGGGAGGTGTGAGGGGGTAATACTGCTAATACATACCAGTAATTCTGAGTTATAAAAAGTGGAAATTGCTACTAGGGTCTAAAGCTTCTATGAGTGTCTACCTATGTGTGTGTGTGTGTGTGAGTGAGGGAGAGATGGTTAGGGGGATAGGGTTGTTGTGGTTAAAAGATCCATTATACCTCTCTGTCGTGTAGGCTCAAATTTAGTCCCAGCTGTCTTTCCTAGTAATGCTACTCTCTCCACTTACTGCCCTTTCTGGATTTAAGTATCAATTACTGCTGGTTATTATCCTATTCCTTGTTCACATTGAGAGAGGACTTCCTAGCTTCCTAAGTATTCATACTGCTAATAACTACCGGTAGTAATACTACGCTACCCCTCGCTAGTCTGCTGTCCTCACACTCTCGTCAACACTATCTTCACTTTATCTATGCTATTTCTACTCTAATTCTGGTAATAGCTTGCAGGAGTGAGTGACCAGTGTCTAACAGTGATGCAAGACCAGAATCCAGACCCTGCAACATGCAACCACAATAGATTAGAAATACTTGCGCTGGCAGCGGTGCGGTGACAAATTGCCAGATGCTGATGACGAAGTCGTCGTACATAGGCTTCTATCACTATTTTGGAGATCCTTCACCCGTGATGTTTATAACCATATGTGCTCATACATCCTGCGTTCCTCACGTGATTTCACTTTTCATTTATGATAGTATACACTTCACATTATTTACACTTCACTTTATATGTATAATGGCACACAACTTGTGACGTCATTGCCTCAGCAGGCCTACTACTGCCACCTTCCCTTGTTGTATATTTTATTTTTCCTTTCTCCTTTTGCTTATTAACCTTTTCACTCTCACTGTATGGTGCCCCACATTTCACTTGTTAACCAAATGCTGGTAATTCTTGAACACCCGATTCCACACTCACTTTGATCTTTGTATGTTTAAATCTGTGTGACAACAGTGCCTAGTAGACCCACAACGGTTTGGCACTTTGAAATATTAATGATTTCAGGCTTCCTCTCGACTTTTTTTTTAACTAATAACTTTAGTTATCACTCGTAGGATTGTTCACTGACGTTGTCACTACCACTGATTACTGCTAGCAGTTACTGCACTCCTTAAAATACACTAAAGGTTCTCGGAGCCTTGTCACCCACGTGTGTGTGTGTGTGTGTGTGTGTGTGTGTGTGTGTGTGTGTGTGTGTGTGTGTGTGTGTGTGTGTGTGTGTGTGTGTGTGTGTGTGTGTGTGTGTGTGTGTGTGTGGTGTGTGTGTGTTGTGTGTGTGTGTGTGTGTGTTGTGTGTGTGTGTGTGTGCGAGTGGTTTCACATTGTAAGAATATAAATTATAAAATAATGTTAGATCCTCTTCTTGCATCACACACAAGCTGTGTTATATCACACACAAGCTGTGTTACATCACACACAAGCTGTGTTATATCACACACAAGCTGTGTTACATCACACACAAGCTGTGTTACATCACACACAAGCTGTGTTATATCACACACAAGCTGTGTTATATCACACACAAGCTGTGTTATATCACACACAAGCTGTGTCACATCACACACAAGCTGTGTTATATCACACACAAGCTGTGTTACATCACACACAAGCTGTGTTACATCACACACAAGCTGCGTTACATCACAAACAAGCTGTGCTACATCACAAACAAGCTGTGTTACATCGCAAACAAGCTGTGTTACATCACAAACAAGCTGTGTTACATCACAAACAAGCTGTGATGCATCACACACAAGCTGTGTTACATCACACACAAGCTGTGTTACATCACACACAAGCTGTGTTGCATCACACACACAAGCTGTGTTGCATCACACAAGATGTGTTGCATCACACACAAGCTGTGTTGCATCACACAAGATGTGTTTCATCACACACACAGGCTGTGTTGAATCACACACACAGGCTGTATTGCATCACACACACAGGCTGTGTTGCATCACACACACAGGCTGTGTTGCATCACACACACAGGCTGTGTTGCATCACACACACAGGCTGTGTTGCATCACACACACAGGCTGTGTTGCATCAAACACAAGCTGTGTTGCATCACACACACAGGCTGTATTGCATCACACACAGGCTGTATTGCATCACACACACAGGCTGTGTTGCATCACACACACAGGCTGTGTTGCATCAAACACAAGCTGTGTTGCATCACACACACAGGCTGTGTTGCATCCACACACAGGCTGTATTGCATCACACACACAGGTTGTGTTGCATCACACACACAGGCTGTGTTGCATCACACACACAGGCTGTGTTGCATCACACACACAGCTGTGCTGCATCACACACACAGGCTGTGTTGCATCACACACACAGGCTGTGTTGCATCACACACACAGGCTGTGCTGCATCACACACACAGGCTGTATTGCATCACACACACAGGCTGTGTTGCATCACACACACAGGCTGTGTTGCATCACACACACAGGCTGTGTTGCATCACACACACAGGCTGTGTTGCATCACACACAAGCTGTGTTGCATCGCACACAAGCTGTGTTGCATCACACACAAACTGTGTTGCATCACACACAAGCTGTGTTGCATCACACACAAGCTGTGTTGCATCACACACAAGCTGTGATGCATCACACACCACAGCTGTGTTGCATCACACACAAGCTGTGTTGCATCACACAGAAGCTGTGCTGCATCACACACCAGCTGTGTTGCATCACACACAAGCTGTGTTGCATCACACACAAGCTGTGCTGCATCACACACCAGCTGTGTTGCATCACACACACCAGCTGTGTTGCATCACACACACAAGCTGTGTTGCATCACACACACAAGCTGTGTTGCATCACACACAAGCTGTGTTGCATCACACACAAGCTGTGTTGCATCACACACAAGCTGTGTTGCATCACACACACAAGCTGTGTTGCATCACACACACAAGCTGTGTTGCATCACGCACACAAGCTGTGTTGCATCACACACACAAGCTGTGTTGCATCACACACAAGCTGTGTTGCATCACACACACAAGCTGTGTTGCATCACACACACAAGCTGTGTTGCATCACACACACAAGCTGTGTTGCATCACACACACAAGCTGTGTTGCATCACACACAAGCTGTGTTGCATCACACACCAGCTGTGTTGCATCACACACAAGCTGTGTTGCATCACACACAAGCTGTGTTGCATCACACACACAAGCTGTGTTGCATCACACACAAGCTGTGTTGCATCACACACCAGCTGTGTTGCATCACACACAAGCTGTGTTGCATCACACACACAAGCTGTGTTGCATCACACACACAAGCTGTGTTGCATCACACACAAGCTGTGTTGCATCACACACCAGCTGTGTTGCATCACACACAAGCTGTGTTGCATCACACACAAGCTGTGTTGCATCACACACACAAGCTGTGTTGCATCACACACACAAGCTGTGTTGCATCACACAGAAGCTGTGCTGCATCACACACCAGCTGTGTTGCATCACACACCAGCTGTGTTGCATCACACACAAGCTGTGTTGCATCGCACACAAGCTGTGTTGCATCACACACAAGCTGTGTTGCATCACGTCACATTTGACTAATGCATGATAGTTTTAATTTTTTCAACCTAGGGAACTTAAATAAGATAATGATTCGATGTTGACCAGTGATGTGCACTTCCATTGTCTTCCACCAGAGGTCAACTTGAACTACATCCGGGTAACTTTGTCAAAATTTCGACGATACTATTTCCTCACACATCGTCTACGGGCTCTGACTTGGCACCACTTGTGCATCACTCACGGAAACGGAGTAACAGTGTCCTACCTGGATGGTGTACAGCAGGATTATCACAATTATCTTCTCAGTGAACCAATTACGGGAACCCATATTAAAATTGGTTCGTGGAATGTCGACCACAGCTTCAGCGGCCAACTTGCTCAGGTGAGTATTGAAGGAGAGCTATGCAAGGGTTGGTTGTCAACGTTCTTGTGTTAATCTTTCTTAGCGACAACGACAACAACAACAAAATTTCCCCTCATAAATGTGAGTTAGTTGTGAATTATTCCAGCCGGTACTGTGGCTTCTATTTTTTTTTTAATGTTTTTAATTCCCTTTAGGTCAATATATGGAGTCGTACTTTGACCGCTGAGGAAGTGGCCGCTTTGGCAGAATGTATTATGGAGGAAGAGGGAGACGTCGTTCCTTGGAAAGGTCCTTGGACACCTGTTGGAGACGTGAAGGAGACCCAAGAGTCCTTTGATGATCTTTGTCAGGAAGCTTCTGGGACGGACTATTTTATCTTCACTGACTTCACTGCCATTTCTGCTTTCCAAGTATGTGAAGGTCTTGGTGGCTCTCTGCCAACTCCTCACTCTAAAGAAGAATACACCACTTTGTTAAAAGCTGTGGAGAAGCACCATGGTGAAGGAGGCAAGGTTTGCAAGCCGTTCTGGGTGGGTATCACAGATGTTAAGGAAGAGGGAGTGTGGACACATATGAAGTACATGACACAGGTACGGCCCTCCTGGGCAGTGGACGAACCTGACGGAAATAAGCTAGAAAACTGTGCAGTAGCTGAGGGTCTCTTGAAGTTGGCTGACACCCGCTGTGACGACGTGCAGTGTACAGTGTGTGCTGTGCCTCGGCGACCTGTCTGGGTGTTGCTTGGAGCCTGTGAAAGGTATCGTCGCAATACACACCTTGTTGCTCTTCAGGAAAAATCTGGTAATTTCGTTTTTAGAGGCTACTCAGATTACAAAATAATCCAGAATAAAAATAAGACTGAATGGTTGTGGTGGGACTGGCGCAGTAAAGAGAATGTCGCTAGTTTGGTTAATGCCGTAAATGGCTTTCCAATTCGGGCGTCAGACATGGACTATGAAGAAAGCTATGTGTGGAGAGGCTGAAGGTCACAAGAGGCGCCTCCTGCTGACTCCCTGTAGCGCAGGTCAGTTCTCCTGCGATGATGCATCCTGCATCCCGCTCTTTCAGCGATGCGATCTCAAGTTCGACTGCCGAGACAAGAGCGACGAGAGTGGGTGTCAGCTTGTTTGGTTTCCTCCCGTGTACCGACCTGACCTACCACCGGTTATCAACAGCGACAACAACTCGTCAGAGCCCCTGCCTGTCACCCTACACGTTATTATCGAGAGTGCCGACGTTGACACGCCTTCCATGGATATGCACGTCAATCTGAACGTCAGCATGACGTGGCAAGAGGCAAGACTTAACTTCCTTAACCTCAACGAAGATTACACTCTCAACAGGTAATATGCAAATCCAATTCATGCTTACGTTTTCAGACATAACATGAAATTTAACCTTTCCTTTTTTAATTAAACAACCAAGACTGCTTAGAACAAGATCTTAAAATTCACAGTTAATACTCTTGACAATGTCTCCATTACCGTCGGGTTGTATTACGAATGGATTTATGCAGGTTCAGTGTCCCCCATCCACCTCCTCGTCCCTCAGGTTGCCCTACGAGACGATGAAGAGGGTATGGGTCCCTGTGGTAGACTTCACCAACACCAAGGGCATCCACATCACGCAAACTGACCACCAGGCCACCATGGTCGTCAACATGCAAGGCAACGCCAGCCTGGGCGACGACACCCAGCCCGAGGAGTGTAAGGAACCTCTCCACTAAGCACTTGCTGCCTCATGTCTTATTGCTTATTCATGGAGAAGTTTTAAAGCTGGTGCCACACTCTTGCTTTGTGTTACGCTTCTTACCTACTTAAAAGTTGACATTATTTTTTCTCAAAGACAGGTGGCGGACTCGCGTGGAGCTACTAGAGAAACATTAATCATTTTCATATTCTGACCGTATGACTATTATTGCCTGTATCTGTCTAATTGTATGAGTGTATGTTACCTGTCTATCTAACGGTATGTCTGCATTACCTTTATAATTGCATGACTGTATTCCCTGTATTTGTCTCACTGTATGATTATCTGTATTTGTCCGGCAGAATCACTGAATTACCTGTACCTACTTCAATGACTATATTACCATTCTGACTAAATGTGCGACAATCTGTAATACCTGTGTGATTATGTAACTGTATTTCTAGCATCTGACTGTATGAGTGTTTATATAAGTGCATTCGCAGAAACCTGTCTGTCTGGCAGCCTCACCTGTGTCTGATTGACTGGCTGACTGTATTTAACTGTATGGCAGCATTACCTGTGCCTATCTGACTTATTGTATGGCGTCATTATTTGTGACTGTCTGTCTGACTAAATGACTATATGGTATCCTTGCCTGTGTCTGTCTGACTGACTATATGGCATCCTACCCTGTATCTAACTGACTGAATGGCATCCTTACCTGTGTCTGTCTGACTGACTGACTGTATGGCAGCCTCGCCCCTGTCTGTCTGACTGCTACTTGGTCTCCACAGTGGAGGTGTACTCAGGACTGGAGAATCCCATAAGCGTGAGGAGAAAATACAGCATAACCTTCCAGTGTCAGTTCGACCTGAAGATGTACCCCTTCGACGAACAGGTGAGAGAGGTATCCATTGAGACGAACTTGTTGCCATGTAGTCCAACCCCTTTATACGAGCAAAGAAGCTACTTGAACCTTTGTAGGCGAGCAAAGGACTATGATAACACCTTTATGCCAGCATATGACTATATTAACACCTTTACAGAAGCTTGTGAGCTATAATAATCCCTCTAGATTAGTAAAGGAGCTAAACAAGATAAACAAGCAAAGAAGAGGTTTTAATTCACTTCAGTGAGCAGTGATGCTTTTATAACCAATTTAGGCCAGCAAACGCGCTACTTTAACCCCATTAAAAAAAAATGAAGCAATTTTTATACATTTAGACAAACGAAGAAGCCATTTTAACAAGCGAATGGCGTATTGAACCCTTTAGACGAGCAAAGGGGGTGTTTTAACACCTTTTATAGGAGAAAAGGGTATATTTTATCCCATTTAAATAAACGGAGATATTTAATACTATATTGAGGTTACTTAGGAGATCAAAATGGATATTCTAACCTTTTTAAACTAGCAAAGGAGATATTTTAACCTTTTAAGACTAGTGAGACATATATATATATATATCCCATCGGATGAGCCTTTTGAGATGATGCAAAGGGACAAATTAACCCACTAGGCTGGCAGATTCCACCCCTGAAACGATCAGCTGAGATAAAGTAAGATCCCCGTTGATGAGTTGTAAATTACTTCAAATGTAAAACAAAGGAAAATAACATTTGTTTGAGAGAATTACGCCATTGACTAGCAGGGGAAAGATTGTTGGATCTTTAAGAGAGAAAGAGAGAGAGAGGAAAACCTTGCATAAGCAGGTCAGAGAACAGTGTTCCTGAGACACAGGAACCAAGACCTCCAACCCTGAAGATGGTGATCATACACTTCTTGAGTAGCAAAACCGAGCGTGAGATAGTTCATTCTCTTGGTTGCATTACCTTAATTTCTTGTAGTGAAATGAGTAACCCGCTGAGTACAGTAATGGGCACTCATACACTCTCTACTTTACACACTTTGATGGAAATTATTTGGCCATTTAAAGTGAGTTAGTCATTCCACTGTGTATATCTAATCCTCCCTCACTGTCTCAACCTCAGTCTACTCAAGCCGACCCCTTTGATGCCCAGTGTCACCCTTATTCTGTTGCTTCCTCTCCGGAGGCCTCTGCTTACCTCTTGTTCCCCACCGCCCCAGTGGCTTATGCCACCATTGTTGCCTGTTATCCCAGCGTCCCTAGCCTCCCCTAAGCTACCTTCATATATTCCCTACCAAAGTATCCATTCATTCGTACAGTAAAGTACTCATTAAGATCACTGCACCTCCTCTCTACCTCCTACCTTCTCTCTTCTTTCTTCATAACCACAACACCACTCCCACATTTACCTTTATCTCTCTCTCTCTCTCTCTCTCTCTCTCTCTCTCTCTCTCTCTCTCCTCTCTCTCTCTCTCTCTCCTCTCTCTCTCTCTCTCTCTCTCTCTCTCTCTCTCTCTTCTCTCTGTCTCTCTTCCTCTCTCTCTCTCTCTCTCTCTCTCTCTCTCTCTCTCTCTCCTCTCTCTCTCTCTCTCTCTCTCTCTCTCTCTCCTCTCTCTCTCTCTCTCTCTCCTCCTCTCTCTCTTCCGCCTACTAATGGCCCACTAATGCCCACCTCATCGTCTCCCCCATACCACCCTAAACCAAGCCTCGACCACTTACACCCAGCACCTCCAGCCTCTCACTCACGACCCATCAGACTATGATGGTTGGCTTTAAACAATGCTAACAAATGCTTTGAGTGATTATAGAACATGTTTTGCCTATTTACAAGATTTGATTCCTTATTAAATGTATTCCGAACTTTTTATTAAATATGTAGTCAATTAATATTCTAGATGTGGCATCTTATTGAACCTTGACAGATTACAGTGGATATAAGCTACAAAATTTGTGACAAATTTTCAGTATCATTTGATATAATTTAGGTGATTGACAGACATATTTTAAAGCACCTGAAGTGTCATGTCAGCACCTGAACTGTCATGTCAGCACCTGAAGTGTCATGTCAACACCTGAACTGTCATGTCAGCACCTGAACTGTCATGTCAGCACCTGAACTGTCATGTCAGCACCTGAACTGTCATGTCAACACACTTCTGGGAAGACAGTGATTGAATGAGTGACGGTGAAACTGTTTCCTCTTCTCCCGTCATCTTACCAGGGTAGGAGACGGCCGGTCTGCTTTAAAACATTGAACACCATATTAAGTATAGTTTGAGAAATTATAGATATGTTCAGTAATGTTATATATGTTGTAATGAATTCAAAATAGATTTTAATGATAAATGTGTTTGCATTTTTGCAACGAACGACACACAAGGACGGAGGATCGAGCCTCCAGCAATTCTTGTGATGAATGACACACAAGACCAGCATATTTTTTTTGGGGGGGAGGGAGGAATTGCTGTGAGTAAATTTTTTTATTCACTGCTACACTGACTGTTGTTCACTGCTACACTGACTATTGTTCACTGCTACACAGACTGTTGTTCACTGCTACACTGACTATTTTTCACTGCTACACTGACTTTTGCTCACTGCTACACTGACTGTTGTTCACTGCTACACTGACTATTGTTCACTGCTACACAGACTGTTGTCACTGCTACACTGACTATTGTTCACTGCTACACTGACTATTGTTCACTGCTACACTGACTGTTGTTAAACTGCTACACTGATATTGTTCACTGCTACACAGACTGTTGTTCACTGCTACACTGACTATTGTTCATTGCTACACAGACTGTTGTTCACTGCTACACTGACTGTTTTTCACTGCTACACTGACTGTTGCTCACTGCTACACTGACTGTTGTTCACTGCTACACTGACTATTGTTCACTGCTACACGACTGTTGTCACTGCTACACTGATTTGTTCACTGCTACACTGACTTTGTTCACTGCTACACTGACTGTTGTTCACTGCTACACTGACTATTGTTCACCTGCTACACATTGTGTTCCACTGCTACACTGACTGTTGTTCACTGCTACACTGACTGTTGTTTACTGCTACACTGACTGTTGTTCACTGCTACACTGACTATTGTTCACTGCTACACTGACTGTTGTTCACTGCTACACTGACTGTTGTTTACTGGTACACTGACTGTTGTTCACTGCTACACTGACTGTTGTTCACTGCTACACTGATTGTTGTTCCCTGTTACACTGACTGTTGTTCACTGCTACACTGACTGTTGGTCACTGCTACACTGTTGTGCACAGGTACACTGACTGTTGCTCACTGCTACACTGACTGTTGTTCACTGCTACACTGACTGTTGTTTACTGCTACACTGACTGTTGTTCACTGCTACACTGACTATTGTTCACTGCTACACTGACTGTTGTTCACTGCTACACTGACTGTTGTTCACTGCTACACTGACTGTTGTTCACTGCTACACTGACTGTTGTTCACTGCTACACTGATTGTTGTTCACTGCTACACTGATTGTTGTTCACTGCTACACTGACTGTTGTTTACTGCTACACTGACTGTTGGTCACTGCTGCACTGACTGTTGTTCACTGCTACACTGTTGTTCACTGCTACACTGACTGTTGCTCATTGCTACACTGATTGTTGTTCACTGCTACACTGACTGTTGTTCACTGCTGCACTGACTGTTGTTTACTGCTACACTGATTGTTATTCACTGCTACACTGACTGTTGTTCACTGCTACACTGACTGTTGGTCTGCTACACTGATTGTTGTCACCGTACACTGACTGTTCCCACTGCTACACTGACTGTTGTTCACTGCTACACTGATTGTTGTTCACTGCTACACTGACTGTTGTTCACTGCTACACTGACTGTTGGTCACTGCTACACTGATTGTTGTGCACCGGTACACTGACTGTTGCTCACTGCTACACTGACTGTTTTCACTGCTACACTGATTGTTGTTCACTGCTACACTGACTGTTGCTCACTGCTACACTGACTGTTGTTCACCGCTACACTGGCTGTTGCTCACTACTACACTGACTGTTGTTCACTGCTACACTGACTGTTGTTCACTGCTACACTGATTGTTGTTCACTGCTACACTGACTGTTGGTCACTGCTACACTGACTGTTGCTCACTGCTACACTGACTGTTGCTCATTGCTACACTGACTGTTGTTCACTGCTACACTGATTGTTGTTCACTGGTAAACTGACCGTTGTTCACTGCTACACTGACTGTTGTTCACTGCTACACTGATTGTTGTTCACTGCTACACTGACTGTTGTTCACTGCTACACTGATTGTTCACAGCTACACTGACTGTTGGTCACTGCTACACTGACTGTTGCTCACTGCTACACTGACTGTTGTTCACTGCTACACTGACTGTTGTTCGCTGCTACTCTGATTGTTGTTCACTGCTAAACTGACTGTTGTTCACTGCTACACTGACTGTTGTTCACTGCTACACTGATTGTTGTTCACTGCTACACTTACTGTTGTTCACTGCTACACTGATTGTTGTTCACAGCTACACTGACTGTTGCTCACTGCTACACTGATTATTGCTCACTACTACACTGATTGCTGTTCACTGCTACACTGATTGTTGTTCACAGCTACACTTACTGTTGTTCACTGATACACTAATTGTTGTTAACAGCTACACTGACTGTTGCTCACTGCTACACTGACTATTGCTCACTACTATACTGATTGTTGTTCACTGCTACACTGTTGTTCACTGCTACACTGACTATTGCTCTCCACTACACTGTTTGTTGTTCACTGCTACACTGACTGTTGTTCACTGCTACACGGACTGTTGTTCACTGCTACACTGTTGTTCACTGCTACACTGACTGCTGTCACTGTACACTGACTGTTGTTCACTATTTACTACACTGACTGTTGTTCACTGATACATTACTGTTGTACATTGCTACACTGACTGTTGGTCACTGCTACACTGACTGTTGTTCACTGCTACACTGACTTTTGTTCACT